GATGGGCCTGCTTCTCTGTGGCACTGCCTGAAGCCAGGCCTGGGGCCACATCCAGCTCTGCTTCTACTCACCAGAGATCCTGTCTCCTTACCCACAAAATGAGGAGTCTGCAGACACCAAAATGTCACGTCTGTTGAGAGGGTCAAAAAGAAGTAAAAACACATGAAGCCAAAGAATGGCCTGGCGCTGGCACTCAGAACACACCACCCACGTGGGATGGTTATCCTGAGGTCCTCCGGGTGGACGCTGCAGGCAGCTGACCTGCAACCCCACGCCTCGTGCTCACCCGGGCTGGACAGAAGAGCGGACTGCAGCTCTCCCTCAGTCCATTCCCTTTACCTCTGCTTGCGGGCATGAGGGTGTGGGGTGCAGCTGCCGCAAAGGACAAAGTGCAAAGCGGGAGGAGTGCCCAGTGAAGCAGAGGTGATGCAGCAAGAAGGTAGTGCCACGGGGAGACGAGAACCAACGTGCGCGTCCTGTCGTCAGCCGTCTCTGTAGACTAGTTCCAAGCTACGTAATGGAGCATCGTTTGCAGATATCCGTAACTTAACATCCACGCTTTGTACTGCTGTGAACTTTCTGCAAAATTCATTGATCCTGTGGTTTAGAACTTAACACCTCTTCAGCCTCAGATTTTGTGAACCCTAGAAACTGGGGACTGATTTTTCTAACTGATAGTTCTGTATCTGAGCAGCAGATAGCGTAGCTGTCGTGGTCAAAGGTAGACCAGTGTGAGGCTCCTCTGAATGCAGAAATGTTTTTGTCCTGGGGACAGTGCTGTCAGTAAGAATCACACCTCCAATCTACTGCCCCTGAACGTGGGCGGGTAGCTGAGAGCCTGAACAGGACTGAGCACTGACGGCTTCCCACTGTGTGGAGACAGACCAGCTTTTGCCAGAATCACCCTCTACGGCCCGAGCCCAACAAGGCAGAGCAGTCTAACCCCAACTCTCCGTTAATGAGCCGGACGTGAGGGTTGCCGAGACTCACCCCCAGCCCCCCAATCTTGCCGCCTCCAACGGCATCACGGGGCCGTCTCATTAGGAAGCCTGTGGACAGCCCCACCGCCGTGTGCTCTGTCACGCCGGCAGCAAGTGTGTCTTGATCAATGTGCTTGTCAGCGCTGCCTTCGGGCTGTGAGACAAACTGGAGGAAATGTTTGCCCTGTGGTCAAAAGATGGCTCAATTGGGGTTTCCTAATTTGTTCTGGATCCTTGGCACAAGAGAATATTTGATGAGCACGAGTGACTAATGTACAGACAAAAGTCTCATCCACTCAGTGTTCGCTGGCAAGTGGGACTCGGAGGGCCTGCCATCGGAACTCATAATTGTGCAGTCTGGGACTGGGCAGGTGTATCTCCATGAGAGGAAGGGGCCCTGACTTTCAGCTCTAGTACCCAGGCCCTGGCACGGCTGGGAGCCACGCAGGCAGGGGATGTGATGCAAGTTGTGGCTCTAGGAAGGGTGTCACCTGGCTCCAGGAAGCTGCCCTGATTTCCCCAGCTGATTATGGTCACTTCCTTCCAAACTCTGTATCCCCAAACCTCTTTGATATACTTTCCATTATAGTTACTAATGTCTGTGACTTAACTCCCATTTCAGTCTGTAGGCTGTTTGAGGACAGGTCCATGTTGGAGGCATTCTTCCCCTGGAGAACGTAGAATGTGGTCCAGAGCTCAGCACACAGCAGCACTAGTGGCTGTGATGCTGCTGGTGGTGGCGACGCTTGGTAGCAATGATGCTGATGCTACCATTTATCCAGTGCCCTCCTCTGAGCCATGTGCTGAGCTAGGTACCTGTACTCTCCCTAATACAACTGCTTCAAGAAAAAAAGGATTCCCCCGCCCCGCCCAGTTTTGTAGGGGCAAAAGTGGAGCTCAGAGAGGTTAGAAAGTTCTGAAGGTCACACAGAGCTGTGCTGACAGCACTGGGCCAGTCTCCCAACCGAGCCTCCTGTCTCCTTGGTTTACTCAGCAGACCCTTGTGGGATGTGCAGGGAGTGAATCTGCGCCGTCTCGTGTGGAACACCATGGGCTGAGGAATGTCGTCCCAGGGTACATTCCAGGAAGGTTGGCAGCAGTTCTCAGCTGCTTCACACATGCGACGCAGACCACACCAGCGACACCCAAACTAGACTGGGATGACACACAGTATGAAGGGTTAACAAGCCGGAAGTGGCTGTACCAGCCAGTCCTCATGCTTTCCACAGGTTGCTAATCTCCATATTTGGGCAACTGCAGTCATAGCACTTACTCAGCATTATCTTAGGAAATTGGACATCGTAGGTTTGTTAGACTGAGGTTTAAAACGTCTTCAGAATAGGGGGTTGAAAATGGTTGTAGAATTTTAGACCCAGAGGTGGGACAGAGTCCACTTGGATGGCTCCCTCAGGGCTGGTGCTCAGGTCCCCACTGCTCTAAAGGAAATGCGGGTGTGACACGGGCGAGTGAGTGACAGCCACTAGCTGTTAGTAGGCTAGCGGTAAGCCACTAGTAAGTAGGAGCTACTAGCGCTTCTGTGCCAGGTGCTACGCCCATCATCCCCATTTTACAGGTGACTTAGAGGCTAAATAACTCGTCAAGGCAAAGGTCACTAAGCAGCAGAGGTGAGACCCAAGCCCGGCGGCCTTGCCCAGAGGCCAGCTCCCTCTGCGTGCTCACTGCGTCCGGATAGGAAGCCTCAAAGAGGCAGCGACCGAGAGGATACCCTCCTCGCTGCTCCCCCCGCCCCCAGGCTCTGGGTGACCTGGGCACCCTCACCCGGGGCCGCGCTAAGCTCTCCCACTCTCAGACGACCTGGGGTCACCTGTGAAAACTGAAGTTTTTTTTTAATTATTACTTTTACAGTCTGCCTACTGAAATATTCCTTTTCCCTCTTCACCTTAATTTGGTTCAGAGCATAAAAGACCTCACGCAGATTGTTTACCCCGGTCCACTGCACGGATCACACGCAGCACTGATTGTCTGCGCTGTGTGCAGCCTGCTGCGTCCGCCCCCCAAGCTCTCCACTCGACTCTAATGAAAGGCCCTTTGAGTAGAAGGTGCATTCCAGCAAAGAGGGTCAGTGCTCGTGGCACCGTAATGAGGCTTCCGGAGGCCGTCCCAGCCTCCAGAGCTGGGGCCCGACCAGGTGTTCAGAGACAGCCTTTCTCCACGGAAGTTCAGGCTGAACTTAAGATTGACACTTACACCCAATTTGTGCAAGACTGCTGGAGGGGCTACTTGTTGTGGAGGCATCCCCTCTCTCTTTCTCTCTCTCTCTCATGAATCTTACTTTTTCTCTTCTAAAGGAAAAGCAGTTGATTTCAGCCAGCACTTGAACAAAATTATACAATTTGGATGACAACTAAAATCACATCATTTAGAACTAAAAACAATCTTGGAGATAATGGCCAGTCTCCTCTGACAGGAGAAAACCGAGTGTCAAGAGGTCAGGTGACCTGCCCACGCTCATATGTGAGAACGGAAAGTAGCACCATGTCAACCCCAGCTTCCTGCTTCAGGCTGGCTACGTGAAAAGCTGTCCTGCAAGGCTGAACACAGATATTTTTAAAATAGACAGATTTGGGAGTCTGAGCCACTGCCTTAAATTCAGTGATGGCTGCACATCTTAACTAGATCCCCAAGTGTGTACCCACTGACTAAACACTGATTTGTGCCCCAAGGGAGGTGCATGTAGAAAATGTGAACGGGCAAGATTTTAAAAGTTTATGGTCCCTGCACCCGGAGAAAAACCATGAAAGCAGCCCTGAGTCATCTCCGAGTGGGAAATTACTGTTTGTCCATGAAATTCTGACGGTGCCGTCGTCAGAGGCAGAACATTGAGATTTCTAACGTTTTTACAGCTGTCCCAGACATGAGGAAACTGGGCCTTGTTTTGTCTAGTGGGCAAAACAAAGTGTGATGAGATCATGTCGGGGGAACGTTTACTAAATGAGTGAGGAGGCAAAGTGGGTGGAGGCTGAGAAAAAGGCCATGGATTCGACATCATGTGTAAAACAAGAGGCCCTGGCACCTTCACCGGCCAGAATATCGCTGTAAAAAGGATTGGATGGATGTAAAAGGGATTTAAGTGATCAGTAAAGACAGGAGCTGGAGTGAAATAAAAACCATCAGACAAAGGAGAGAGTCCGTCGCGGGGGAAGCTACCCTGTGGAGTTACAGTACACACCAGTGCATGGCTGTGTCGAAGGAAGATAGCTGTACTATAAAATAAAAACGAGTAAGAGGAGAAATGGAGCCCTCACACGCTGCCGGCACGGTGATAGTGGTGCAGCCTCGCGGGAACATGTTTTGGCGGCTCCCGGACAGTTCATGCAGAGCTGGCCACTGCCCAGCACCCCACTCCCAGGCACGTGCCCGGGAGACATGAAAACAGGTCCACACAGAGACTTGTACACGAAGGTTCACAGCAGCGTTATTCATAATGGCCCCCAAATGGAAACAACCCAGATGTTCACCAGCTGAGGAATGAAGAAACCAAAATGTGCTCTGTCCTTAATAATTTTCAGTCATCAAAAGGAATTTGGCACCAACATGCTACAACACGGATGCACCTTGGAATAATCATGCTCATCGAAAGAAGCCAGACACAAAGGCCCCATTGTGATTCTGTTTACGTGAAATGCCCCAAAATAGGCAAAGTCATGGAGAAGGAGGTAGATGAGCAGTTGCCTGGGGCCGGGGGAGGAGGAATGGGGTGATAGAGGGTTCCGTATCAGGCGATGTTTGCACTGCTCTGCGGATCTGCTAAAAACACTGAATGGGGTGAATCTCATGGCGTGTGAACTGTATTTCAATAAAGCTGTTACGAAAAAGACACCGTGGGAGGAATGTGGACGTGGGACCCGGCCCATCCGTGAATTAATCTGTGGTGCCTGTTTGGGGTGCGCGTTCCGGGTGCCTGGTGCTGTTTAGCGCCCGGAGGTCCAGACCCGGTGCCACTTCAGGGCCTGCCCGTCAATGGGTGCTCACCTGCTGTTTGTCCCCCGGCCCCTGCAGGGTGAGGACCCCCCGGCCGACAGCGTGCTGACCTTCGTGGCCCGGACGTCCGCCCTGACCTATGCCCCCGCGTCCCGGGCCGATTTCCCCGGGGACCGCCCGCTGCGCACGCTCCGCAGGCTCCAGCCCGACGAGCTCAGCCCCAAGGTGGCCGGCGGTGCGGACAGGCAGAGTCTGGTCGCCGCACTGGGTGCCTACGCGGCACGGAAGCCCCCCGCGCCCCCCAGGGACGGCGACCCCGCAACCCGCAAGCTCGTGCGCGCACCCTGGCAAGAGCCCAGGGTCCTTTCGGCACCGGCGGCCCCCCAGAAATGGCCCTCGCCTCCGGACCCCAGGGACGCCCTGGGCACGGACGACGGTAAGTACCCTTTGCGTGCTTGTTGTCGGCTTGTTTCTGCCTCTCAGGCGGCTGCCCAGGCCGGGCCTCCGAGGCTCTCTCCACGTGCGCACCAGGCTCCGCCATAGAGTGGACAGAGGCCGAGGGGTGGGAGGGGCCGTCCGTCCTGGTCCTGCCCCTGGGTCGCGGGGACTCAGGCGGCCAGTGCCTGCGGCGGAGGGACCTTCGGATCTCCTGGGGGAGACGCCCTCCGCGTTCAGTTCTCGCTGCCCCGACTGTCTCGCTATTTCATGACTTTATTGGTGGAGATGATGAGGGAATACGACTCACAGGCCAAAGCTGGCCCCGCCCAGCGTTTGGTAAATTGAATATAAACGACTTCGGAGTCCACTGTCCTTCCCTTTTGTCTCCGCCTCTCCACTCCTGTGGTCAGACTCATGCCCAGCTCCTTGGTTTATGGGTGTTTGCTGGTCCCCATGAGACCGGCCTGAAACGAACGCTGCCCCCAGTGCCATGAGTGTACTTGGGCCCTTGAAGTGACCAGCCCTCGAGGCCGCCACTTCAGCCCTTGATGTGAGTCACCCCGGCTGTGGTCGCCCCACAGGAGGAGGGCTGTTGGCCGGTCCTAGCCTCTGTGAGATGCCCAAGGGCCTCATCTGTTTTCTAACACCCTTTCCCTAAGATAAAGTGCGATTTTGATAAAATATGACTTCTCCTTTGAAGATATACAAATAATAACATGAAGCAGGTAACAGATTAAAAAAATATTGAGTGTCCGTTCCCATTCACGCTCCCTGTCTGTAAGTGGAGGCTTGATCGGGGCCGCTCTGGTGGGGCTCTTCGGGGAACATCCTCTGAAGATGCTCTCTCCGCTCTCCAGTGACCCTTATTAGCGGCATCATTTGGTTGGCGTTTTCTCCTGGGCTACGTTGCAATGTGGGTTATCTTTTTATATATATTGTCTTCCCAGCTGCGCTATATGCTTTGAAGAGTCATGTAAAATGTTAGCCTCAGAGCAAACAGAGAGACTTGTAGGATGAACGCCCACACATGCATTGCTGGGTTCCTCTCGCTACTTCTGTGACCCCCTCCTCCCCTACGCTGACAGATTCAATCGGACGCTGTCAGGTTTCACCTGTCACACTTCAGTATTGCACTGCCAGAGATACGACTCTTGAATAAACCTAACCAAACAGCTTTATCCCATGTTAAACTTCATACTAATGTCTTCATATCACCAAGTATCTAATCTGTGTTTAAATTTCTCACTTGTAAATTTTCTTTATAGTCGGTTCTTTGAAGGCAGTATCCGAAGACGGTCCACTGAATTGGTGGACGTACCTGTTAAGCGCCTTTTAAACTACAAAAGCTTTCTCCTCCCTCTTTTATTCCCTTGTATCATTTTTTTAAAAAAAAATATTGTTTCAGGTGTACAACGTTTTAGTTTGACATCTGTATACACTACAGAGTGATCACCATCAAAGGTCTAATTACCATCCATCTCCATACAGCTGACCTCTTCACCCATCTTGCCCCCATCAACCCCTTCCTCTCTGGTAATCACTAATCTGTTCCCTGTATCTATGAGGTTTTGCTTTATGTTGTTTCTCTATTTTAGATTCCACATATGAGTGAAATCATACAGTATTTGTTTTTCTCTGTCCAACTTATTTCACTAGCTTAATACCCTCTAGGTCCATCCATGTTGTAGCAAATGGCAGAATTTCATTCTTTTTCACGACTAATATTCCATTGTATATATGTATGTACCACATCTTTTTTTTTTTAAGATTTTTTTTTTGATGTGGACCTTTTTTTTTAAGTCTTTACTGAATTTGCTACAATATTGCTTCTGTTTTATGTTTCGGTTCTTTGGCCCTGAGACATGTGGGACCTTAGTTCCCCTCCCAGGGATCAAACCTGCGCCCCCTGCATTGGAAGGTGAAGTCTTCACCACCGGACCGCTAGGGAAGTCCCACCACATCTTCTTTATCCATTCATCTGTTGATGGATACTTAGGATGCTTCCATATCTTGGCTGTTGCAATGAACATGGGGGTGCATATATCTTTTTGAATTAGTGTTTTTGTTTTCTTTGGATAAGTACACAAGAGTGGAATTGCTGGATCATATGGTAGTTCTTATCATTTCTGTCCCTTTGTTAAGTTCCGGCTGTGTTCATCCATGCTTCTTCTGGGTTCAGTGAGCTTCTTTATGACCATTATTTTAAACTCTTTATCAGCTGAGTTGCTTTTCTCTCTTTCATTTAGTTCTTTTTCAGAGGTTTATGTCTTGTCCTTTTGATTGGAACATGTTCCTTTGTCTCCTTATTTTGCCTAATTCTCTGTGTTTGTTTCTCTGTGTTAGGTGTATCAGCTACCTCTCCCAGCCTTGAGGAGTGGCTTTTGTAGGAGACATCCTGTGGGCCTCAGAGGTGCAATCCCACCGGCCACCAGAGCCCGGGGCTCAAGGGGTGTGCCCGTGTGGGGCACCTGCCCTCCTGTTGTGGTGAGGTCAGTGTTGCGGAGGGGCGCTGGCGGGTGGGGTTATCGCCTGACTGGTCATGAGCCCTGCTGAGGTGCAGGGGTGGCAGCGCTCTCGGTAGGGGGCTAACAGGTTAGGTGGTGATTTCCACAGTGGCGCCTGCAGTGTCTCAGTCCTTGGGGAGCATCCCAAGTGGTCCCTGTTTCTCCAGCAGGTACTTCAAGGTTAGTAAGCGGGTCTCCTCCCTCTGTGATCCAGGTGCCTTGCAATCAGGCACGTCTGCGTTGGTTTTGAGTCAAGTGAGTCTGCACAAGGGCCCTTTAAGAACGAATTTCCCATTCTCTGTAGTTCTGTAGTTTTCTTAGATGTATCGCCTGTTGATTTTCAAAGCCAGGTGTTTTGGGGGCTCATCTCTCCTGTGCAGGATCTAGGGGTTGGAGAGCCTCCTGTGGAGCTCGAATCCCTTGCTCCTCAGAGGAGAGATTCATCCCTTTGTGATCCTTGGCGGTTTGTGGATCGCCGTGGCTGTGGGTTTTCTCTTGGCGAGACCACCTCTCTGCCTTCCTGCCTGTTGATGCTGTCCTGTACTTTCCTGGTTGCACCCCAAGGAGGACGTGTACTTGTTCCTCTGTTCCACACGCCCTGTGAGCTAGGAGCTCGGAGATGTGACCAGCGTGTCCAGCGTTCAGCAAGAAGCCTTCAGGGGGACAGCGACCTTCTGTGAGGGGGACGCTGCCTCCCTGTGTCACATTAGCATCCAGCAGCCCCGGCCATGGAACCTTTCTGGCACATTTCACCTTGACTGTTTGGAAAGTGCTCGATCCCCCAACAAGAGGAGCTCACCTCACCCTACCCCACCTCGAGGGAAGCCCTCGCAGGGCTGTACTTTTCTCTGGAGCGTGTCTCACAGTCTGACTCACGCATTTGCATGTATTGGATAAATGTTTGTCTCCACTTGTAGACCGTCAGCTTATGGAAGCCAGCAAACTGTGCTTCTTTTCTCACATTTGCACCCAGGACTCAGCATGTGCCTTGCAGGGTGTTTGCTGAGTGGATGAATGGTATCATTTGCTCTTCACGGCAACCATGAAAGGTGGTGTTATTGTCAGCCTCGCTTTCCTGATGAGGAAACTGCAGCTCGAGATAGCAGGTGATAGCACTTGTCCCAAAGTCAGGTCACTTAAGGCAAAGTGGATGGAAGCTTTTAAGAACCGTCTAAAATGCAGATTTAAACACAATTTGCTTTATTTCTTGGGCTCATTGGTCCTGGACTCTAATGTTTTAAATGCCATTCAGCTCCAAAGTCTAGCTTTCTCTGACTATTGTGTGCAAAGTTGTGTGCTGAGACTTTAGGGTGAGCAGAGGAGTAGAGAAGGGTCACCTGGGGGCAGGGGTGTCAGCCAGGGCTGGAAGGAGGAAGGGTTCTCTTCTTACATAGTGAAAAAGGACAAGGCAAGAAAAGACCAACCTTCTTCTAAAGCCCCAGAGCTTCCCGGGGTTACCTGTCCAGACCAGTCACAGGCAGGCCATTCCACACCACTCACCCCTGGAAAACTGCCCCTGCCGTTCGGTCTAATATCCTTCAGAACCTCGGGGAGCGTTCAGGTAGATTCAGTGAGCCATGAGCACAGGATCCCTAGGAAGGCACAAGACACAGCAGCCCTGTCCTCAAAACCCAGTTTCACCTTGAAAGCACCAGCGAGAAAGTCAGAAGGGAGGCCCAGAGGGCCAGGGTGTGTGACCTCCCCGGGGGCGCAGCCCTGGAGAGCTGGCTGTGCCGGGCACCCAACGGGTGTAGTGCGGAAGACAGAGACGTGGGTGACTCAGATAGTGGCTGCCCTTCTGCAGGACGGTCGAGACCAATTTGTAGCCCTCAGGGCTCATGAAAACCCACCCATCCCTGCTCCCGAATCAGTAAATCAGGCCACTGGCTTCATGTGCATGGCAAATGTTCATTTGGTAAAAACTTAGAAAGGAGACCCTCTTCCTTCATTTATTCATTATTTACACCGTGTCACCTTTGAAAAAGCTTTAATTCACATAAAATTAAAAGGCCAGTGTCCAGTAGGATAATGGCAAGGGCAAACGGCAAAGTGTGAAGTGTGGGATTCAGACATGGCTGGTCCAGCTTCTCCTGTTTAGGACACGGTGTCTCGGGTTGTGGCCCAGCTGGCAACGCCCCTCGTTAGAGTGTTGTTCTGTATTCTGTGATCAGTTCTCTATGGAAACCGGAATGTGTAAAGGATTATTTGTTGTGCTTTTTATCAGTTGTAGAAGTAGTAAATGGTTACCATGCAATACCAGAATAATAGATGTGTAGAAAGAAGAAAACAAGTCACCCTGGATCTCATCACCACCAGGCAGGTGCTGTGAGCGCTGGTGTGCCTTTTGGTGCTCCGTGTGCGTTTGTGAGGCCTGGCACCGCACGGCTGACCCGGGTGTGGCCATGCGCAGCTGCTGCTTCTCCTCTGCACGTCCCTGCAGTGCATTCGCCAGGGCTCGTTCTTCCTCCATCGCTGGGTTAAAATTCAGGCAAGT